TTAATTACACCACGCGAAACATCTTTCCAAAAAAATATCATGTACCCAACGTTATAACGGCCATAATATGTGTGTGTGTATATATATTTTTACCGTATTATTTCCCGAACGACCGAATAATCCCGACGAATGCAATTTTAAACAAACAATCCCCTACCTCTCATTATTTATGACCACTAGACGGCTACATTAAAAATAATGATGTTGCGCCACGGACGGACGGACGGACGGACGGCACGAAAATCAATGAAGCAATTAAATTGATAAGTTTGCCTTGTTATAATATTTCCATTCTTTTGTCGCAGTAATCAAAAACTATAAAATTATTGTTATTATTATTTCGCCTCGTGGAGTAAACACGTCCAACCTCCCCTCCTCTCCCCCTCCTTTTTCGCGCTCGAATTTCGGGCCGAACTTAGAATTTTAATTAACGTTGTTACTCGGCCGTTCGTTACTGTCTCCCCCCGAATCATTTCAACGTCGGTGGTTAAAAAAACTTCCGAAACTCTAATTGTTGGTATACAACACTCGTAAGGTAAATTTTTGAGAAATTTTCCTCCCTTGTATTCGCTCGTTTAAAATTTCCCTTATTACCATTCGAGTGGAAGAGCCGCGACATTTTCATCCAAAATTTTTCCCCACTTCCCTCTCCGCTTCCTCGTCGACGATCTTCAGCTTTCCATTCGCGTGAATTGGAGAGAATGAGACGGAGAGAAATATGGTGTCATGGGATAATTTCTAAAAAGGAAAAAAAAATATTCTCTTCGCTCTTTGCAAAATTTCCAAATTTTTGTCGTCCCGGCGGAAAGTTTCTCGTCTCATCCCTCCCCAAACGTCTCTTCTAATCGTTTCTATCCCGATCGTGAGATCCGAGCCCCTCGTCGCCAGTTTAATTGATCCGTATCGATAATCGTTTCCTGAAGACATTTTACAGGGCGTTATTAGCGTGGCACGCGTTACGAATTCATTAAACTCGGTCGCAAGATATATTATTATCTCGCGGCTACCAGTTTTATCGGATGACGATACGCACACGAGGCCTGCAAACCCGCGACAACCACTTAAAATCTTGTTCTCCGCGGCCCGTTCTTCTTTAATTGCCGGCATTTTAATCGGTACACGTCATTCCGTTATTGCGGAACAAATTGCCGCATGATCGGCCGCCATTCCCCTCAAAGAGAAACGTCCACAATATTCTTTGGGAATAATCTTTCCAAACTCTTATCCGCCCGCCATTTTGCATCTCTCTCTCTCTCTCTCTTAATCCGCCCGGAATCTCGATTCGTGTTTAAAGAAAGAGAGAGAGAGAGAATAGTATTTTTTTACCAATTTCTTTGCTTCATTCTCGACAATTAGAAATTCATCCTAGAAATTCCTCCTCTCGAGAAATCTTGTTCAATTTTTATTTCTCACCATCTCGCTTACTCGCGATGCGTATATACTTGTCGCCGTTGAAGCCAAAACGAAAATAATCCTCGGTAAAAATGATGCATCCTCGATGATGACGATATTCGAATTACCACACACGTCGAAGAGGAGAAAGTGGAAAAAGCGTCTCGTACGCAAGCAATCTTCGATTGGCCGCGATGCAAAAGACTGCGGCCACTTTTGCATCGTCCTGTACACCGGCAACCCCCGAGGGGGGAAGAGGGGGAGGGTGGTCGTGGCGCGGCGGGGCGGGGGAGGGGAGGGGAGGGAGGAGGGATGGGGCTGCGGCGGGCGTTTTTCAAATAATTACATCGAGCTGCGGTGGTGGTGGGTTGCCATGGTAACCGCAGTGCCTTCAGTATCCTACGACTGAAAGCAACCGGGCAACCGTGCGATGCAACCCGGTTCCCTCCCTTGGTTCGTACTTTGTGCGTTTCGGTTCTGAACGTTTCCCTGGACCATTTGTGTTTCAACGTTCCGAACGTTGGAAGGAAGAACCGTGGATGGATTTGGGAAGGAATGGATTACACGGGCTAATTTCCACCGATTTTTTCACCGAAATTTCCAGCAGCCCAATTTCTTTCTTTCTTTTTTTTTTTTTTTTTTCCATCGTCGAAGAGAGAACCTCGAAACGAATCTCTTTAAATATGATAATTTAAGAGACTCGTCTTGTTTAATTCCCTGTAATTTTTAATTACGATTCAAACACGAAGAATCGAGTTTCGAAGTATCCTCCTTTTCCCTCACGAATTTTCGAGGAGAGCGCGTAACGAAGAGCGTTCTTGTGTACGTTGTATACGTGCGTAAATATTCCATTAAGCTCATTCCTGTTAATCGTCTATTAAATATCGTCTAATGAAAATGTAAGTGGAAGGAAGGAGGGGCATTGGGAAAAATCGTTAAGGAGGATAATATCGAGATCAATGTAAACGCGCACAACGAATATTGTACCCCTCTTTATTTCGGTTATCTAATTCAATAGGTGACGTAGTTTCATTTGAATATGAGTAGCACGATGAGTCCTCTCCAATTACACTTGTCGTCAACCTCCATTTCAAACTGCGTCACTCTAATTTCGACTGATTAGGATAATCCTCGCAACGGGGAACCGTTGTTATAGACAATAACAAGCCTATAAAACTATCTGTGCATCTTCTTCCTATCCCTCGTTCAGAAACGAGTATATATATATATATCCCTTTCTTCTCGTTTTTCTTTCTTCGTCGTCTTTTTTTTCTCCACCGAGGATCGCAGGGGTGTAAGAGAACTTCCACTTCATAAAGTTCCACCTACCGTGACCTTGACTTCCTGTTAAACTTCCAACCAGAGCTTATTTCGCTCGGTTACGTGGCCACTCAGGAAATCTTACGACCACGCCACGATCGTAAACTCAACGTGGACGAGGTGTGCAAATGTTACGAGGTGTAACATTGCCCGATACCGAGGTCAATCTCCTCTGATTGGATGATCTCGGATCGATTCCAAATCGTCGTTCAAATTTTGTTTGTTTTGAAATTTTTCTACTTTTCTCGATCAAAAATAAAAAGGTGAAATTTAGACTCAGAGCGGAGTGACTCTTTTCAAACCCGTTCCTCATCCAAAGTGGTCGGTGAGCATAATGCCAGATCCAATCTCTACTTTTTGATGAACCGATGCCTTCTTCCTGCATCAAAGGACTAACTTTCTTAGCCAGAGAAGAGAAAGTCAAACCCGCGAACTTTTCTCCTTCTTAAAATTATCTTCTCCGGAAAAATTCTACCGATATAATTGCGCGGATGCGATTCTTCTCCTCGTCGAAATACAAAATTTTTATCAAATTTATTAATTCATCGTCGCGTGATGAAAATTTCTTACAACGATCTTTTCTCAATCTTCAAGTATCCATCCTTATCCTTCTGTATAACCAAACTTCTATAACATACAACTCTTTCGATGCGACAACAAATCTCGAACGAAAAAAAAAAAAAATAAATAAATAAAAAAATAAATTACTTCCCCAAAGAATTATTTGAAAGAATCATCAATCGTCAACTTGCTCGAAAGCAAGTGTAAATCCGCCTTAAGCGCGCGGGAACGATCTTGTTCTATCTATAAAATAAACGAAAAAAAAAAAAGAGTGATAGACAGAGGGAATCGTTTCACCATCCCATCGAGAGGTCCAAAGAAAACCGAGATCGGGGGGAGGGGAGAACTACCCCGACGGCGCCAAGAAGTGGCTAAAACGTCGGGGTTTACGGCGTGTCTGCGTTACGAATCGACACAGGGCCCCTCGCGAGCCCACCTTCTCTCCTCACCTCTCTCATCCCGACCTACTAGCGACCTACACACCTAACCTGACGCGCAACGGGTCAAGCAAGACTCCAGAGAGCAGCGACGGACAGACGAGGAGAGGAAGAGAGGGAGAGGGAGAGAGAGAGAGCGGAGTGGAAAGGAAGTGTAAGTACGGCAGAGCGAGAGAGGGAAGCAAGGGGTTGTGGAGTGGGGTCAGTTCGTGACCCGACCACCTGTGGAAGCAGCCGGTAGCTACTTCTTGTTTGCTGTTTGCGCATATCTACCTACCACTTATATGTACTACTACGTATTACGTACGTAGGCGAACCGCCACCCGATGACCGCGGTCACGGTTAGAACCGAAATTACGTTGCTCCCGTTTCTCTCTTCCTTTTCCTTTTCGGCATGTGTGTGAGTGTTTTTCACGTATCTAAGATTTTCGTCGTGATATTACGTTTTTCGAGATTGACGAAAAGAGGATTTAAAATGAGGATTTTAATTGTTATATTTTGAAAATTTTGCGCCACGTGATATTTCCAACGAGTGGAAATCGATTTTCTTCTTTTCAAATTCTTTCAAGGTTGAGCAAGTTAATCAACTTTATAACGATCTAGAAATAGAGCAATTTGTTTATCCTATCCAGGGATGCTGCGAAGCGAATGATGGAAACATTCAGAATTTCTCGAATGTTTCGAGAAATGAGTACGAAAAGAAATTTTCTAGCTAAAATTGGCAGCACAAATAATATATCTTGTGTTGGCACATCTTTGGCGCCGCGTTATCGTGATTTTTCACGAATGCCTAATTGCCCCATAGCGTGATCTCGATTAATAGGACAACAACGTGTGTTCAATTAAGGGATTGATATTAACGAGGAGATTTTCGCCCCGTGCACAAGAAGAGGAGACGTGTATGGCGCGAAATATACGCTTGCCAGATAAGAAGAAACAATCCTTGCGAGGGAAAAGAAAATGAAATGCGATTAAATCGCGGAAAAGCACGGAGGAGTGCCAATTACTTGGCGCCTAAACGATGACGTGGAATGACTGATGACGCGATTAACCGCGGAGGTTAATGTTCCCCATGTTTTTCTTCTTGCTGAATAACATCGCGATTGAATGCACTTTTTCCCTTTTTCTTCTCTCTCTCTCTCTCTCTCTCTCCACACCAGCTTTTCATATACGTAGTGAGGTAGTTTGCCAGGAACTGTTAGTCCTTCTTGATGATGATTACGGTGATGTAAAATGATTTCTCGGCAACTCAAGATTGAAAATGCTTTTTACAATGATCGATGGGAAAAGATGATGATAATAATAATAATAATAATGTTTTTGCTTCGCAATGTTAGCGAAGAAATGACGAATTGTTTCGAATACGATAATGGAAGAACGTGTTATTATAGAGAACAAATAACCGAGGGGGTTATTTATTCGTTTAATCTAGTCCAATTTTTTTTCGACAAAGGAATTTGAAAGAAATTTTGAAAAATTTTGTAACAATTAAAATTAACAAATTAACACTTTGCAACGATTTTTACGATTTTTTTCCTTCGAAAAGAAAAACTTTCTCGATTTATTTATTTTTTTTTTATTGATATTTATCATTACGTAGATATCTTTTTTTTTTTTAAACGATTTGGAATCACGATTAAGGATCGAATCGGCGTGCATATTATTATTTTGACAAACACTCGTCGCGTATTGCAGGCAGCGCCAATCTCTGCCAATAAAACGGAACAATTTACAGCGGCATTTAGACATAATTATAACTTAATGCGCGCTCCGTCTGTTTACGATTGTAATTGCAGTGGAAACAACATTTAGGTTCGGTCACAATGCTGCCGAATTATTCATCATGCGTCACGTTTTATAACGTAAATTACTTCCATTGATCGAATTTCCCTTGATCCGACAATGTTAACCGACAAGATCAATTTGCCGCGAGATTTCGCGGATATCAAGTTTGCTTTCAAGAAATTTTCCACGGAAAATCAATCGATTCGAACCTCTTTTCCTCGAGTTTTTTTTTTTATTATATATATATAAATAAAAATAGCATCAACAATTTTACCCAAACCCAACCTGTCTGTCAAAGAAACACAAACAAATCGCATCACAACAATTATCGAACGAAACTACGAAACTATATTCCCTTGTCGAAAGTAACAAGTGTATATTTTCGTTTCGTTATTCGTTCGGCGAAATTTTAAAAAAGGCACGGAGACATGCCTGCCTGCCTGTAAATACAGGCAAATTCATTCACGGTCCTTGCTGATCCGGGGGGAGGGGGGGAGGAGGAGGAGGAGGAGGAGGAGGGAGCAAAAAGACAAATATTTCGTGGGCGAAGAACAAAGTGCAAACACGTTTTCGTACGTGTCCAACGCGAGGCGACGTCTCTGTCCCCCGGGTGTGATGTAATAACACGAAATTACACCGTATCGCCTTAGGTATGATATAGAGGCCGTTTAATAGTACTACGGCCATTCACGCCGCGAGTCACCGCCAGCTTAGCGCTCTATTAATCACAGATTATTATTCATGCACCTCCACAGCTAGTCCATGTGGCGCTTTTAGCACCGTTGACTTTTGTCGCCCCATTGCCTTTAAGCTCTCCCTCCTCCTCCTCCTCCTCCTCCTCTCTCACTGGCACACGCTTTCGTCGCATCCTCTTCCTCTTCCTCGCCTCGAGCGCCTTTCTCCTCCACCTGAATTCTTTCCGCTTCCTTTTCGGCCCCGCTTCATTAACCAGCACGTGGTGGAAATGGAATCGGGAAGTTGGGGAACACCTCGAGAGAAAAGGAGAGGGATTCTCGTGTATCGTGGTTAATTGATTTCCGTGCGAATCTTTGTCATCGTGTTTTTGTTTTGTTTGTTTTGGAGAAGGGACTCTCCATTTAGTTTTGGTGTTTGGTTGCGCGATATTTGGCCATCTCGTTGTTTTTTTGATTTTTGACTCCGTTAAATGGACCATCTTTTTAGCACAGGGTGATGATGGATCGTTCGGGTTCGATCGGGAAGGATCTTGTTTCGTCAATCCATTTTTTCGTGGTCTGATCTTTAACCGTATATTTATTTTCACGATCATCACGAAGTTGTTCGGTTCGATGCGTGGTTTCTTTTCGAAGCGTGTAGAAATAGTTGATTTTATATTATATAAGTAAATTTTTATGTACGATAATTTTTGACGCTTCAAAAAGAAATTCGTTCTCGTCTTTCATTTTTGAAGAACAGGCAAAACATTTTTTGCCCAACGAAATCGATCGAGATCTTGAAGATTTCATTACAAATGAGATGCAACGAAGAAAATGAAATACAATGACTCCTATACGAGTTCGAAATATCTCAATCTCCCATTGACGATCCGACAGATTGTGCGTGAAGCTATTTCTACGATCTACGACTATTCTTGGTGTAGAATTTCCTTTCCGAAGGACACATCGCGTTTTTGTCGACGCGAGTCAACGAGGCAAAAAAAGGAAGGAAGGAAGAAAGAAAGGAAGAAAAAAGAAGAGGAAGAAGAGAGAAAAAGTTACGCTGTACTGAAAAAAGACCGCTATACTCTTTGCCTCCTCTATCCTTGTCGCGGTTCGGTTCAAGCCAGCGGGAAAGGAGGAGAAAAAAACGTGTAGCGAGGAAAAAAAGTAGTTGTTCTCGAGTTTTTTTTGTCCTCTTATCCATCGAGCACGAGCAAAAAAAGCGGACGCACGATCCAAGTCACGGCTACGTCGGTAATACTTTTTTTTTCCCTCCCTCTCTCTCTCCNCTCTCT